TTTTAAACCTTTCAGTATACATTAAGCAGCAACAATTACTGAAGTGCATACATACATAAGTACATATATACACACATTTAAAAGTGCACATTGAAAAGAAAAGATAAAATAATAAGTTATTTACTCATACATACAATCAGGAATACTGCATATGTAAAGCCATATTGGATTTGAGTGCAAAATAAAACAAGTCATAAAACATTTGAAGCATTCGCAATAATTATACCATTTGGGAAAATTGTGGAGTAAAATAGCAGTATTTTATAAATATATTTGCTGTAGATGGAGCTGACGCATAAAAAATGCGCTTAGGATAATTAATAAGCTATTAAACAGATTGGAATATCGGTCAAATTCAATAGCAAAACTACAACAAATATTTTATGTAGACCACTTTATAAGTTCAGATGAGGCCTATGCTCTCTAGGAGTCTGCTAATTAAGCAACTTTGCAACTTGTATTGGAAAAAAGTTATGAACAGAAGTTAAGGAAAGTGTACTAGTGGAATATGCAGAGAAAACTTCTTAATCTGGTGGAAATATAATACAATAAATATAATTTACAAAATTAAAAAATTATTGTATAAATTACAAATTTACGTTACTTTTATTTGTCAACTGCTCATGCAGAAGATGAAAAACTTTCAAGTTTTAGTATTATTGTCACAGGTACATACTTGTACACCGCGTCTGTCAGTTTGTTGGATATTCCTCTTTGTTTGTGTTTTTCACAGCTTGTATAACAGCCTTTCGCGTTAAGCAAAGTATTATATATATAAATATGCATATGTATTAATAGTATATAAATGTGCACACAAACACACATACTTTTATACATATGGACGCGCGAACATAGTTTAGTTTGAGATTCTTTTACTCATTGCTCCCTCAATTCATTTCATTTCATATTTTATGTAAATCCAGTAATCCAACCAAGTCTTTTTTGTCGTCTTCTCTACACTGTGCATTTTGTTGTTGCTTCCTGCTAATATACGACACGAGCAGTAGTTATTGGTGTTATTACTTGCTGTCGGTTGATGTTTGCGTTGTCGGCGATGTGGTCTTGCCAGAGTCAGCCTAACTTTTTTGTTTTGCCTTTAATGATGTTGTTGTATTTGGTTTTAGATACAAATTAATGCTTTATACAATTTAAGCATCCATTGAAGTACGTACACAGACGCACGTTTAGGTACCTTTGCATGTGCATACATACTTACTTTTGTATATATGAATGTACTTATATAGTACTCAATTACTAGGTACCATAAATATATATATGCAACAACAAAATGTAGCTGCGTATACGTATGTTTGTATAACGATTTCTTGTGCACATTCATGTGCTTATATGTACATACATGTATGCATGTTTGTATGACAATATATCAGCAGTTGAAAGTGTGGCGTATGTATGTGTATCTTTAGCAATCAACTGACACAAGAAGCGTCACAGCGTGGCGCGTACAAACATCAGTACATTATAAAATGCGTACAGATGCTAAAATCGATGTTCGTTCACATTCAAGAGGTGTGTGAAAGAAGCGAACAATAAGTAGAGTAAAAGCGATTTTGTGCGACAAGCTACGTTTTTATTCACATTTTACTCACATTACCACTCTCCGGCTTTTGCATCTGCTTTTCAAAATGGATGTAAATATCTACATATGTACCTATCTGTATATATTTACAGTGCCAACACTCGGTATGCCAGTTTCCCCACAAGCCTATTTTAATATAATGACCTGATTTTTTTTTTAAACTTTTCTCTATTTGTTCATAAAAATCAATTCATTTGAAATAAAATTATAAACAAACTCATATACAGATGTGTACATACATAAATACATATATGCATTCAAACATCAGATGATCTCTCAAAAATGTGTTTGTATATCTTTAAAGCTTATCTGTTACAAAAACAAAAATTGAATTTATTTCAATATTTATTTTCAAACTCAAAATTTATCAAACTGAAAATTTTAATTTATGTTTTGTATGCAATAATTCTTAACAAATAAAAATGACTGCAAGTTAACTAGTATTAATAATAGAATGAAAGTCTCAAGTGGAGTTTTTTATAATTTCGCGAAAACGAAGATAGCAGTAGATTTAGCTAATAGTGGAGAAAGCTCAGCGTCAATATCAGTGCAGGTGCAAGCGACAGCAAAACGTACATATTTATGTTTTTCATGTATGCACATACACACAAAATAGTGTATTCGGCGACATTCCCGATGACGGCAATACAAAAAAATTACAATGTTCATCGGTTTGAATGCACTTTATAACGATTGCATATACACGAACATTAGCGAATACACGACTTTTTCTTCCTTATAGCACTAGTAACTAAAGTCAAAATTCCATAAAATGTACTTCAACTCTTAATATGCTATTTTCACGTTGCAACCGGTACAAACCATTGCGTATGTAGATATACATATATAATATTATAAGGCATTAAATATTGGTACGTAAGTCGACTTGTACAACAATATGGTCATACACAGTTGTTTTAAAATTTATACATATGATTAAACTATTGTTAAATCATAATCGAAGGGTGGCATCGTAAGTGGTGTCATTGTGAGCGAATAGCGAGACAAGAAAAAATGAATTAAAAAAGCAATCAACTAATTTCGAACAAACTTCTCTACAACACAAACGCAAACACAGTCATTGACGTCGCCATCGCAATCGCCATCTCGCGTTGCCTCTCGACGTCGCGGAGACAAAGTGCCGTTTCAGACAGGGATGCAAAAGAGTCTGATCTTTTTCAAATTTTCTTTTGGTGTCGCTCTGGGCATTCACACGGTCAAAAAGAGTCCAGCAACTCGAGTCTAGTTTTTCTGCATTCCTTTTCACAAAATGTTCGTAAATATTTGTGCGGTTCGACTGCGCAACACCGCGCAACACTGCGTGCTGCGTATTTCATTTGTATGTTGAGATGATGGTCACACATTTTGCTTGCAATGAATTACCATGAATATGGTAGAACAATATGCATAATACAAGTACCTACCCGCTAAATAGTTTCAAAAAAATACTAAAGACGGGAATTCCCTAATCCACAAGAATGTATTGAATATCCGCAACTAATATTTTCAAGGCCAAATTTATAATAGCAATTTCCTAATCTTTAAGTATTAAAAACTCATAATTTCTTTACTGCGTATTAAAAATTCATAATTTCTTTACTCCATAATCTATATCTTAATTTTCTCCTTATTTACAATTTGTCATAATATTTCTATTATTCTATGCATACGTATTTGCATATTACATACAAAAATAGATAACAGAACTCAAATTTGCGATCGAATTCATTTGAAACCGAGCGCTCTTGCAACCATTCAAAGGATTTGAAAGTGAAAAGGAATGCTGAAAAGGGTAGCAGCGAGCTGTTACGAAAAAGAACACAAAGCGTGCCACCCGAACACGAGTGGCACGGTCCCTTCGTCTTTCCTCGTCGTCCCCTCGCCCACAATAAACTGGTATGAGACTCTTTTGCGTCCCTGTCTGAAACGGCTCAAACGAAGCAAACGCGAATGAAATCAAATCCAGTGGGGTAAGGTGCGATGTGCGGTCGCGAATGGGGAGCTCTGCTATGGGCACTGTACGACGGTCAATGCAAACAGTCAAACGTTCATACACGAATACCTATATAGCAATCAAGCACACAAAAGTCCAGTACCACAAATTTCAATTATGCAAATCGCCGCGCTCAGCAAGAAATCTTCTTTTTCGTCTTCACACTGTATATATATTTAACATTCTTTACACAATTTTCTTTTAATATTATCTTTCAGCATGCGGTTTTTTATCTTACTGTTTTTTTTTTTTTTTTTTTCTCCTTAATATATTCTGTCTCTTTGACAATTATTCTTTACTTGTTTCATTTCGAAGCTTCCTATTTATTTTTATCACAGATATTTATTGCACTTTGTTGTTTATGTCCATTTTGCACTACCGATCAACTATTATTATAATTAATTTTTTTTAAAACAAAAAACAAAAGAAAATTGACTGCTATCGCTTTTTGGGGAAACGCAACCAAATACTAACGATGAACAGCAGAAAATGAAAACGAAAAACCCAACATCGCCTTCGTTGGCTATCGTTGACGCGAAGTACAGAAATTTTTCTTCTACTCGTTTTCTCCTAATTCTCGATTTTCACCGAGTGTCTGCAATTCAACTAAAGCGAAAAAATTTCAAAGTACTTTATCGCTGTAATTACATAGCTTTTTTATAAAAAGTTTACTATAATCTATAGCCGGTAGGTTCATAAATCAAATTTTGAAATATTTATTAATTAATTCCCACTTATTTTACCGTTTACACAATTTTTCACACTAGCACAGAGACGTACGCACCAAATCAAAGACCTCCATTTTGTTTTCAGAATTCATTCTTTTTGCCGACGACGATTCAAATGACAGTTCAAAACGTCGACCCACTTCACAGTATTGCCATATAATTGCACAAAAATCTCTAAAATTTAACTTTAACAAAATGAGGAATTTGTGGAGTGGAAAATAAATTGGCTCATCCCACTAACGATTGTGATTTTGCTCAATCACTAACATACATTAAATCTACCATATTTTTAAATAAATTGCGCTTTTATAAAATACTAACCCAAAGTTATTATTGATATTTTATAGATAAGAGTAAGATTTTTCGTTAAAGGATTACTAAACAAAGTGAGAACAGTTTTAGATCTACTATGGAAGTGCATTGAAATAAACCCTTTTAAGTTAATTCTGTTTTGGGTTACTTCTTAATATCTACAAATTTTCAATGTTTTCATTCCTTTATGATTCGTATTTAAATCCTTAAAAAGCCGGATGCGGTATTTTGAATGGTGCACTTATGTTGCTTCTGCACTAAAAATAACAATTTTCAAAGTGCTTTGCACCATGGTAGGGTTAAACAAAACTTGGTGCTGCCATACATATTAGTAAGAATAATTAGATAGATTAATAGAAAATTAAACCAATTTAATTTTTTTATATTGTTTATTTTTATACCAGTTTCGTTTTCTTTTTACTGGGTTGTTCTGGGGAATTGGAGTCTACAAAGCTTTTAATTCCTTCGTTTTCATCACTTCCATCATCAGCTGTTTGCTCGTAATCGTCATCGTCAGAATCAGATGAGTCGGAAAACACCACTGGCCCGGTTGATCTTACGAACATAAATGTTTTACCAATGCGTCGACCCTCTGCAAATATATGAAATTAATGCAAACAAACAATTTAAAATTTTTACGATTTAAATATCAAAAATCTAGTTAAATAACGATCAAATTTATATATGTACATATAAGTATTTAGATTTTTAGATATTAAATGATACGTACGTGCTCTCAAAAATAACTGTCTGCACGCTTTATTCACAGCATTCTTTCCTTGGTCCTCGGACAAGCCAAAGATATAAGCTCTAAGAAAAAACCATAACTTGTTATTATTAAACTTCGCAGCGTAGTTTAATTCATATATTACAGATTGGCTACATCGTACGGTCCACGCAATTCAAAAGGATTAGTTGCGCCACTACTGAAAATTATGTTTTTTGTTTTACCACGAACACAGTAATTGTGCGCCAGTTTTATCATATCCTTGCGTACACTGGAGTCTCTAATTGCTGGTCCATATTTGATTTCGAAGAATAAGCCTCTCTTGACACCTATTTGATATGCTTTTCGATTCACCAACAACTTGACACCTCCATCAGTGTCGAATGTCACCAAGTCTCCTGCGAAAGTTGTACAGCAGTGCTAAAGAAATAATTATATGTACTCCAAGTTAAAGAATTTTAATGATTAATTCAAATTACTGTTAGAGCAGCATCCGTTTTTGGTTGACCAGCTACCAAGTTGTATTTCTTCAAGTTAAGTGAATTCGTCTGAAAAATAATACAATTAAGTATGGTATGTATATAACTTATTCTAAATTTGTTTACCATGGCGTGCGCTACACTAACGTCAACATATAAAATTGTTAACCTTTGTAAAATTTTTACTTGATTTTTAAACTCGTCTTCCAAAGATTTTAGTGCAACAGGGGACGGAAATATGTCAGGAACACGCTTGGTAGCATCGCGTCTGCTATGATCAAACACTTGTTCAATAGCAATGGTTTTGTAACCCACTAACATAAGACATATGTAATATATTAATAAAAAACATAAACATATACATAGATGTATAATTATCTTACAACTAATTGCCTCTTTTATTATTTCTCTAAGCGCCTTCTCGTCCTTTTGATATGGTATGCATAAGTCATAAAAGGGATGTGTTTTCTCCATTCTTAATTGCAACTGAATCTTTTTTGACTCTCTATAACTGTTACTTATTGTTGAATTAAATTTAGCCCTCTTCAAGCTAAATTTTATTCATATTTTGAGAGAACTTCAGTGTTATATTTAACGTTGAATTTATATCACTTTTTTATTGACAATTTGCAAAACAATTCAATTTGCAACAAAAGTGACGTTTCTATTTTGACGTCGCGGTTTAAATATTTACATCAGCTGTTTGTTGCACGTGCAATCTGGGGTTGCCTGATTTATTATTGATGAAATTGTTTTTCATAAGTATAATATATGTAATAATTATTATTACTAAATTCGTAATCATTGTTAGAACCCAACATTTTTTAAAAAAAGATTTAAACTCTAACAATATTAAAATAAAACTTTTTATACATTTAAAAAATAATTTAGGGAATATTTATAACTAAAGGATGTTGATGTTAATTAATTTAATTATATATTTTTATACCCTTTACAGGGTATATTAAGTTTGCCGCGAGGTTTGCAATACCTAAAAGGAAACGTCGGCGACCCTAAAAAGTATTTATATATGTAAATGATAAGCAAGACAAGTTTAATTGATTTACCTAGGTATGTCCGTATTTCCGTCTGTATATACGCGAAATTGTTCAGATGGGACAACTATAGCATATAGCTGTCATACAACTCAAGTTCATGAAATTAGGAACATATTATTCAGATCACGAAAAAAAATGTATATATATTTGTAAATAATATATTGGCGCAAATTACCAATAAAAAATTTATTTGAAAATTGTATTTGGTACAACATAGTTTCAACTAATTTTTCTATATCTAATACATATAAATATGTAAGCAATTTAACTAATAAGTACGCTTTAATCATTAGAAATCAACTGTTTCCAATGAAAACAGTGTTCGTCTCTGGGCTATGTAAAATTCTGACCGGTTTTTCGTTTGCACTGCATTCGTTAGTCGCTTCATCCACATCATCAGATACACCGGAATCTTGTTTACTCTCCTTTTCATTTTCAAATTTCTTCGCTTTTATACGACGCGATTTTATCAATATACCATGTCCAGGACAATCGCGGTCTTCAGTGTAGCATTTCTCACGACAGCAGGTGCGGCATAAACGGTACCCACACTTGATACCAACCGGATTCGCACATTGATCACAGCATTCCAAGCTACGTTCATGTTTGCCTTCTGGCTTATTGGGACGACGCAAGCGTCGGCGTAACTTTTTCATGCGCTTGCGAGATATTTCATTGCCGTCGGTGTCGAAAAACTGACGTTTCTGTCTATTGGGATCCTCAGCAAGGCGCACCTTCTCAGCTATAATTTGTTTATGCAGCTCTGGAGGCACTCGAATGTACGGTTGGCATAGCCAAGGTGGCAACGATAGATTCAGCTGTAAAAGAATTAAGATCAATTAGTAATATAGCAGTATAAAAATACCGTAATTTTTAGATAAGTTATTTGATTATTTTTATTTTTTATCCTTTATAATTTAAATTATGATGTATTTAAATATTTTTTAAATAATAATTATAATGAAATGAACAATAAATTTTAATTAAGATTCTTGTTGCTTTGCGTACACATGTCATGAATGTCATTAAATAATTACGCATACGCAGTGGGCAACAAGCCAACCAAGGTCAGAGTACTTAGGCAATTACTTACACCGTCTTCGATGACCAAAACACTGGGGTCTACCTCCTCGGCATCATACACCTTCGCACCCACATGGAATGGCTCATATTTGTGTTTAATTTTTTTAACAACAGCACGAAAATGCTCCAACTGGTTTGATACTGCTAATTCTTCGCGTACGTCAGCATTTGGTCTCAAGTTCATTCTTTTTTTGGAATCATTTTGGATTTTAAATAACACTTTAATGGTATTGTATAATTATGATAAAATTATGTATAAGTACATACAAATGATGGAAGATTTTGAATAAATGTCCACGTATATAAGACACTGGACAGGGATATTGCTGTACAAAGTCCAAATACTCTTCTGCCATATCCCAGGTTTTCACCGATTCACCCGTAAATATGGCTGGATTGTGTAAATTTCCTTCAGCAGTCATGACACCATCCACTCCTGTTTCCGACAAGCAGCGGTTAATGTCCTCCAAACCAAGTATATTACCGTTAGCAAGCATGGGTATTTTTATATGTTGTCTATTAAAGGAATATTAATAAATTAGTTTAGTTTAAATTGTTTTCTATATTATAAAAAATGTTAAATTGCACGAAAATTCAGGAAAGAAAGTGAGTTTGCAAGAAAAAGTTTCAGCCGGCAAAATAATCCATTACGAAAACATTTTTCATATATTTTTTTATAGAAACCGAGTTTTTTTTTTATTTGATTAATGAGACTACTGTACAACTTCGTTCTTCTCTCCATTATCGAAGTTTTTTTCATTTCACTAAATTTTTATTTTTCCGGGTTATCAGGGGATGTTAAATTTTTCATCAAGATTATTGCTCTTGATTTAGATTAGATTTTTTTTCATCTATAGAGACGGCTTTTAAATTATAGATAATTATTATCAATTGAAAACAAGTCCCACTCGAGAGGCCGCTCTTTATATATTTATGATGATGATGAAGGTCTAATATTGTTGCTGTTGTTGTTGTAGGGTAGAAAATATTTACCAAATAAGTTGTGGAATATAACCAGTTGATACTCCTTGTCGGGATGAAAATCCGAGTCTATTCCGATTACACAGACCTCACTCTCGTGGGAAAAGTCCTAATACAATTCTTTAAGAGCGGCTTCGAGATTAAAGGGTTCTCTGCACAAATAACTGTTTGTGATTAGAAGCCATCAATCCTCTAAATATGAAGTAGTCCTAGCGTTTTTGAACTAATTCCTAATCTATTAATTGTCTGAAATTGAAATAAAAACCCCGAGTTTGAGTTAAAAAAGCTCTATCATAAAATCTAGTAAATCGTAAGCGAGTTAAATTAAAAAAAAAAAAACAGTATTTGTAGTAACTTTTAAGGCGCTCGACAGAAATGGATCACATAGCTAGGCCAAACAAACAGTAAATATGTAAACGTCATACAAATGTAAAAATACCGTTACTTTCTGCGATGTACTTGTACCTTACTTCTTTGATGTAACTCCAGTCGGCAATGCCCGTAAGCGGCCCCTTTTGCTCTCGTGTTCGGCCATGTACGGTGAGCAGTTGACAACCCGCCGCTTCAAGCACTTTTGCATATTCAATAGTGCGCTGTCGATCTTCCAATACGCGAATTTTGCATGTCACCGGCACAGAGAGCTTTGTATGCAGAGTATTTACTGGAAATGTTTGCAAGAATAAATATATGCTTATGCGAATGGTGGAAGCAGCAACAACACAATACACACCAATTTCCGCCAACAGCTCCCACTCGTCCTGCAGAAATGCACCATAATGGCCACGTTTTGCAATCGCCTGCGGACAGCCCAAGTTGATGTCGACAGCGTCACAGTGGTCCTGTGCCAAGAGCGCAGCCTCCAGCAGCGTTTCGGCATCGTTGCCGCAAAACTGCAAATGAAATGGAAAAGATTTTGAGAAACACATGTGAAATGGAATATGGCTTGGAATTATGGATTGCCGTTTTAAGTGAACTCCTTGAGGGACTTTGAGCGTTGAAGGGCTCAGGTCAAGGTTTTGCGTATTTTTAAAGACCCTCTCTTGACTTTCGCACAAAAAAAAAGTTAAAACAGCGTGAATTATGCGATGATAAAAAAAGCCATTAGTGATGTCAATGTCAATGTCATAACAGACAACGGAATTAAAAATCATGATAATTGTAAGGTTGTCTAAAAAGTGTTCTAATATTCTTTATAAATAAAAATATTAATATTTTCATATATTTGTTGGGTTCATGCTGTTAATAGCACACCTAATTCTCAGCCCAAATCATTAACTGGTTGGCGAACGAATTTCAAAGCGTACATAACTCATCGCATAGTAGAGCGGGTCGATTTTGTTTTTCTATAAAATGCGTATGCGGGAAATGTTCTACAGATCGTTCTGACCAACTTTGCCTAAGAGAATATGGGTCTAAAACCGTTTTCGAGTCAGCGATTTTTTGGTGAAGTTAATTTTTACGGATTATAAAAACTTCTTCGTCTGCTTTTGAGATATCCGAATGCAATTTAGTAGGCATCGGATATAAAACTTGGTTAGTACCGATTACATAAATCCAAATTCCGTGTATGCACTAAGTAATATGATAATTCTCTTCCACAAAAAAGTAAAATCAATCTATACTATCTCAGCTACCGCATATAAGGATGTAAATATTATCCAGCATATTATATATCAGTCTATATGTACATATACGATCTGATCAAATTTGACCCAAACTGACCGAATTTTCAAAGACTTTTGGTTGAGAATAAAAAAATTAAGTATAGTTCCTGAGAGACTGTTCGAATTCGGCAAAAATATAAATTTTGGACTAATGAATTCCAAAATGCTAAACTTTCTGAGGGAAAACAATATAACTTAAATGGTCCGGATGGCAGCGGTAAGTACAGCCGAGATTTTAGACATCGACGGCAGATCCGGCAGATGCAAAACTATGAGGGGGAATCTCTTCTGATTTGGGCTGCTTTTGTTTATGTAGGGAAATAAGAAATTTATGTTCTTCCGACTACTAAAGCCTAAATATATGCTGAAGATCAATATGAGGATAATAGGATTTTCCAACAGCTCCAACGCTCCAATTCACATCACGCGCGTCACGCAAAATTTGTTTCGACAAAAAATAGGTTGATTTCGTAAATACCAGTAAAAATTTTACAATTTAGTGATATCGCTAAAATAGTTATAACGTGATTTGTCTTCTTCTCCTAGCTGCCTTACACAATAGATAATAATTTCCATACATCGGGGTTTGTCAGACATTCGAAACTATTCCAAACATCCTTACTTTCTACCAATCTGTTGTAGTATTCCGTCCACCCGAATTTTGCACTACCCTAGTAGTTTTTTCTTGCTATTTTTTATCACCTTCTTAACATAACACCTAAAATGCCGTCTGCTATATTTCAACCAAAAATCACACCCTCTTTTACTGGCCAAAAGGTAGCTCGTATGTAATCTTGATTTGGCTAACAAACCTGTATAATTAATGGTCGATCTTCGGGGCATGTTTGTAACGCATCCTTGCGATACTTTGGATCCTTGGCAAACAAGTTGCTGTGAAACATTGGTGAGTAGCACAGTTGGGCACCATACTTGCGACAG